CAAAACGGTTGGTTTTCCAGCTAGAGAAAGGGGGGTTCAGTGAATGGCCTAGTATGACCCCTTGTTCTTGTTCAGTCAGTAGCAATGTATCTACCGCGTCTGTGTCGGTCAAGGCAGACTGAAGATTGTTAGACTCCCAAGTCCCTCCCGGCATGTAGATAAGCCCTGTGTGGAAACCTTGGGAGAAACCTAAGACTAAATACTCTGCCAAATGTTTAGATGGGTGGTTGGATAGTAGTCCCGCCAGAGCGTCAATATTAACTGAAGTTAGGTACGGTTTCATATGCATTTTATTAGGGCACATTGCTTTCTCGTGTGCCCTGAAACAATGCGAGCATACATGCGACAGCCGACATGCACTATAAGCACAAGCCCCAACATTAAAATTGTTACAGATTTGGGACCTGCTTTGATACACAATTGGGTGACCCAGTTTATTCCTGCCTTGTTTTTCTGCCCTTGAGGTGCTTGGGGTGGCAGTGTTTGAGATAGGGTCCATTGTAGCTGGGCAAAGGTTTGCAGAATGTGTGGTTGCCAGCAAAGTGTCTAAGGAATAGCTCTGTATTTAGTTGGCTCCAATCCATCCTTGTGTTGTACTGTGCCAGAGCTGTCGCCGCTTTTGTTGCAAATGAACGGTGGTAGTCGTAGAATGACGAACCATAGTATTTGTTGCACAGGTCCACCAGCTTGTGCATATACAGGTCTAGTTCCTCTCTTCTATGTGCGTACTCAGAACATAGCACATCCCTGTGGATACCGAAGGCAATTACAAAGTCTTGGATCTCTAGCCTTTAGGACCACCGAGTAGGAGTGATTCTCAACCAAATCCTGGGAGGCAATGAGAAACGAGATGAGATTAACGTCTTTGCCCTCCAGGATGTCTTTCTTAAAGTTCGCCGGTACCATATGGGCCGGGTTAATGACCTGAGACCCCAAGCTGGTGGGAGTATTATTACCGGGTTGGGACTGAGAGGAGCCTGCAATTTCAGTTGTGGGAGGCTCTGGTGTTACAACTGGAAAGTTACGGGCTTTCAGTGTCTCCAGCCTATAACTAATCTGCCCCATGGAGGACACTAGCAAAGCAATCATGGTATGAAGGTTGGCGTTGCTCGTGCCTTCCCCCGCATCTGTATTGTCAGTATTGGCTTGCATCAGCCTAAACAGTTCTGCTTTCCTGGCAGTAGCCGGAAAGGGGATGCTGTGCCTACGTTACTCGACTGTGATGCGGTGGATAGTCCATGATCTTATTGATGATGGGCTACTGGTGTCTCTCTTGCGCATGAGGGTGGCGGACCTGGCTGGAGTACTGAGGATCGAAATATCATCTCCGTCGTTTGGAGCCTGGGACATACTGAAATATATGGAATAATAAGCTTTAGCCTAAGGGCGTATCCTGGGATGTTAGCTAGTGCCAAAGAGGTGAAAACATTCGTTAGCATGGTGACAATTGAGTCCCTACTAGTTGCCAAGTGGCTTGAGAGGTTCTATCTATGGTTGGCGTGAGGGGGTTGCCTGCGGGGTGTTGGCATCTCTGGGAATGTATTAATCAACAGGGGAGAGGTTGTGACAAGTGAGGTCCTTAGTATGCAACAAGTGAGGCGGCTAGCTATGTTTTGGCCTGTGGGGCGTATTACCTCTTTCGTGGAGGACGGGTGTTGGACTCGCAGGACCTCTATTTATGGCAGAAAGTGCAATTGGACTGAGCAATCTATGACCTTGATGAGCCTAGCTTATCCAAGCTAGGAGCCTTGCGTCTGTAACACATGTTACAGACGCAACATGTGGTTCCGTAACTGTCTGCTTGGTACAGTTTGAACCTTGCGTTTATGCTACTGCCCCCTGAGTTGCAGTAATATGCCTGCCTAACGAAATGTATGCCTGTAATAATAATGCACGGTCTGCTATGTCAGTAAGGTCCCAGTTATCTGCCCGTTCAGCTTGGATGGGCCAGAAGCGAGCACTGTCGGTTTCTCTGAACCCCAGACTAGTTTCAAAAGCCTCCTACAACAAACCAAGGCCATCGTAGTCTACCCCCTCAAGACACTTATACTCGATCAGTCATGGGTAGAGGTGTTAGGCATGCCACCGCAGGGCCCGGTATGAATCATCCAGCCACATCTTGGTCTCAACCAGCGTCTCCAGTTCGCTTACCCATTCCTCTGAGGGCTGGTTTCCCAGGAACGGCATCCGCAGCTCTAGCTGTTCCGCTTGGCGCTGGTTGGTGGATTTCCTCACTCTGGAAGGGTCCTCCTTTCCGAGATCGGTTTGAAACGCCACCCTCCACACTGTCTCTGTATCCTCTGGGATAGGGTACTCCATACTGCGCAGCACATCTTGTAGTCGCTGCTGAAGTCTGGTGTCGAAGCCGGATACTGCCCGGCAGTACTTGCCTTCCATTCTGCAGTAGTGCTGGTTTTTCCAAGGCTAGGAAGCCATCCCACTGCTGCCAACCAATGTAACGAAGCTCCCTGTACTCCGCTTGGGTACCTCCGCCAAGGACCGCTTCCTAGCTGGAACAGGGGACAAACAGCAGCACTTCTGCCCACAGTTGCCGTGGCTTGACTGGGGCCCTGAAACTGCTCTCTCCTGGAGACGAATGGGGAATTTGATGATACTCAGTCATGGGAGCACTAGTCCTTACAACGACTTTCCCCATTGAATTCTCCACACAGGAACAGTGATTAAAGAATAGCCTTTCCCCCTCCCAGTAACCAGACGACACATAGTTCTGGGAGTACAAGCTGGAATCATTTGATGGCAGCCACAACTGGCCTTATAAGCATGTTCCTATGTAGGGCCGGATTAACATAGGGGCTGATGGAGCTGCAGCTCCAGGCCCAGGCCCAGGCCCAGGCCCATGGAATAGGCCCATTTAAAAAAAATAAAAATAAAAAAAACGTTTTTACTTTTTTTTTTAACACACTACTTTTAGGTTTGTCATCTGACTGGTATTTTAAGGCACAACCTGCATTTGAGGCTGCCTGGCCGTGATGGTATTGCAGTAATACCAGCAATATAAATGCAAACATTTTTCTCAGTATAAACGGAGATTACTCTGCAATATCAGCACCGGCCACTAGGGGTCACTGTGTATGGAGAGAGACAGGGATAGGAAGTTACAGCATATCCCTCCCTGCCTCTCTCTACTCACTGAACCACGGGGGAGCAGCTACACAGCACAGAGAGTTCAGACAGCAGCTCCCAGCCTGCAGAGACAGTCTACAGCTCTGGGAAGTGAGGGATGAGGGAAAAGGCAGTAGGGAGACATGGGGACACTGAGACACTAGGGGACACATGGTGACATTGAGACAGTAGGGGACACTGAGACACATGGGGACACTGAGACACATGGTGATGATGTGAGACATAGGTAGACACATTGGGACATGGAGACACTAGGGACACAGTGTCTCCATGTCTCCCAGTGTCCCCATGCCTCCCAGCCAGTGTCCCTAGTGTCTCAGAGTCCCCATGGCTCCCAGTGTCCCCATGCCTCTCAGCCAGTGTCCCTAGTGTCTCAGTGTCCCCATGGCTCTGTGTCTCCATGGCTCCCAGTGTCCCCAAATGTCTGTGTCCCCATGTCTCCCATTGTCCCCATATGTCTGTGTCCCTATGTCTCCCAGCCAGTGTATGTGTCCCCATGTCTCCCAGTGTCCTTATGTCTCCCAGCCAGTGTCCCTAAAGATCCCCTGATAGCCCTGATCTGGGTGACCAACATATCCAAAAATCACCCAGATAAGTTCAGGAATTTCCTGGAAGTCCGACCACACGCATGGTCCCATGCCCAAAACAGTTCCAGAGAATCAGGGCTTGCGGTCGGTCTAGTTCGGTAGTTTTAAAACGAACAAGCTACTGAACATAGTCAATAGTCCTACCCGGCAACAGTATCTTTCTAAGTGTTGTCGCACCGAACGCAGGCTATCATGGATATCCAGCGGTGTTCGGGAGTTTCAGTAACCGAAAATAGTTCCATGAACTCGACGACCTGCGTTCATGTGAACAAGATGGCTGCCACCTCGTGGTCGTCCAGAGGAATTGCCCAGATGAACACATAGAACACAAAGTAGCAAGTAGGCTTAACAAGCTCCAGGGTGGTCTCCGGTTCATGCGGCTGTTCGGTTCCCGAACATATAATCCAAATACACAAACTGAGACTTTTATATCACATTTTACAAGGTCCATAGTCTGTGGGCAGGAGGCTGGCAAGAAGGCTCCTCCAGGAACTCGTGGCAAACTAACTTGAAAAGGGGAGTTTGTCACAATGGCCATACTGTATGTATTTTTATTGTGAATATTACATGATTTCTTTATATATATTGTTGTGAGGGAAAATACATGTTTTCTTCTTTTGTTCCTTTTCTTTTTTTCTATGCCTTTTCTCTAAGTTTAGTTTTCCCATAATGTTTACTCTGTTATACTTTAAGAAATTGTTCAATAAAAACAATTTGAAAAGAACTAATTGGCAAATAGTAATGATTGCATTATAGGGGTGGGGAATATGATTGATCTGGACTGTGGAGCAGGTGTGATGGGGAGATTATAGGGCTTGTATTTGTTTTGCCTAATGCCTCAGTGAGTCTTACCTTTTCATTTTCATATTAATTTTTTAGATCTTAGATTTTCGGGGATTTTAAAATGTATTCACCAGCTTTTGTTGAACGTCTATTCACATTATTCACTGTAAGCTAATGGCTTTAATGATTCCTTAAACTCTATGTTTCAGTATTCCTTTTTTTAATCTCTGTTGTGAAAAGCACAAATTTTCCAAATAAGTTTGTATCCAGACATATTGATGGGATTAATGATGACAGATGCAGAAACAAATTGGGTGATAGAGTACATGTGAGTATTGTTTAACTTTCTTGGGCATCTGGCATCATACACAGCAGATAAAAATTAACGAGAACTATCAAAGCCAGTTCAACAAAGGTCATTCAACATAATTTGGCCAGATATAAAAATGCCATTCAGTCTGTCCTCCATCTAATTTATCGTCCAATATGGAGCTGCTCTCTCTTTCAAGATCGGTAGCTTGGCTACTCCTCGTAGAAGCTTTTTGTCTGGTAGAAGGAGGCAAGCTTCTAGTAGTTCCTATGGATGGCAGCCATTGGCTAAGCATGAAACCTGTAGTAGAAAAACTAACGAAAAATGGGCATCAGGTTGTGGTGGTGACACCAGAGAGTACTTTATCAATGAGTAACTCTTCATGTTATTCTCTGAAGACCTACTCTGTGCCATACAGCAGCCAAGATGTAGAAGACAAATTGCAGAAGTTTGGAAGAGATCACTTCATTAATCATCCTTTTCCAGGAGTCACCATTGCTATGTTTAACAGCATGTTAGATGCATATGATATGTTTCGGACTATGTGTGCAAAGTTATTATTCAATAAAGAGTTCATTCAAAATCTAAGAGAAGATAAGTATGACGCATTGCTTACTGATCCATTTTCACCTTGTGGAATGATGGTAGCAGAACATCTCGGAATTCCTAATGTGAATTTTCTAAGAGGAATGCCTTGTATGTTAGACTACACCAGCGCACAGTGTTCGAGCCCCTTGTCCTATGTTCCCAGAATATTCAGCCAGTTCTCAGACAAGATGACTTTCATGCAGCGTTTGAAGAACCTATTGATTAGAGTAATCGAGTTCTATTATTGTGCGACGACATATGCACCATGGGAACATCTGGCTTCCAAGTTCCTAGAAAAGGAAGTGAATATGTATCAACTTCTCAGTAGAACATCCATCTGGATTATGAGATATGACTTTGTTTTTGACTATCCACGACCTGTAATGCCCAACATGAAGTTTGTAGGAGGCATCAACTGTGTTCCAAAAAAAAACTTGAGTAAGGTAAGAATAATTCATTCATATTATATTGCAAGTAAATTGTGATTTTGATCATATTATTTTGATGATATTTTAACTTAAATATTTTAACTTGCTGTACAACAGTAAATGATTGCTTAAAAATGTTAAACTAAATATTGTAGAGTTTGAAAAGCCTATTTACAAAAGAAACACTTATTTTTGTACACTGGTGTATTTGCATTGACAATGAAATGCATGTACATGGACATTTTACCTTTACCTGTGTTACTTCTATTCTCACACTGAAGGGCTCCTTTATGCACAATTGCTCAATCTGTAAAATTATTAAATTTATCATTACAGATGCACAGGCAAATGGAAGGCAGATTTTACCCTGTTAAAATTATGTCAAGAAACATGCTCATAACACTTCTTCCGAAATAATGAATAGTACAACTTCTTGTGATTTAAAAACATTTAACTCAACTTTATTGAACCACATTTACACTTAACATGACAGCTACAAGCTGTTGTTGATAAGACAACAGGTAGTTGCAGATATTATTTTTAACCATGCATTCCAGTTCTTTTCCATTCTCAGCCATTCACAGGGCCTGTATCTCCAAAGTGGCTTTGTCTTATTGTTGTGCTGGCCAAGCACAACTGCCGCTGTTAGAATACTGACTGTTTTATTTAGTGAATATAACCCACAGTAAACAACACAGACTTTTATAGTAGGGAAGAAGCCTTGCTGACATCATGCATACCACCTAACATTCCAAATGCACAAAGACAAATACTTTCATTTTAGGGATATGGGTGGGGATGTGACCAGGGCAGGACTGATAGGAGAAATGTTTAAATGTCTTACTAATAATGTTATGGAACAAAAAGCTAATTTAGAACAAGAATTCTAAATTTCTAGACCAGGGGTAGGCAACCTATGGCACGTGTTCCATTTGAGGTGCCTTTGCACGGTACTCAAGGCTACCAGAGTCAAACAGGCTCTGGCCTATCAGGAGTCCCAGTGAAACTTCAGATATCTGCTAATACGAAAAGGTGGTGAAGGACAATCCTCAATTTTTGCATTGCAGCACGTAGAGGAAATGACTTCAGATTACTTTTTCCCAGCACTTGTGAATGGGAATCCACACTGTAGTAGAGCAGCCTGCAGCTGCTGTTGCAGCTCCTGTCCTTGACCTGTACCTGGCAAGCACGATATACACAAAAATGCAGAATAACCCTCCCTTCATACAAATAATATGAACATCCAACACACAAGCACAACACACAATCCGCACAAACTCAACACCACTGACTATCCACATACATGCACTCAACCCCACATGCAGGCTCTTACATAAAATACCCTAAACAGCCCCACACATACACACACTACCAAACACACAATGTGACATATCTATCCACACACACAATTCCACAAGCAGCCCCCATACACAGCCCAAATTCATAGGGACACGATACCACAAACTACTCATGAACATATACAATATAATAGCTTATATACGCACAAATACAATGATACAAAGCAACCGCAGTATAAATAACACAAGCAGAATATGGCATCATACACACCTCAATTAATAAAAAATAGGACTGGCACGCTACGGGCCATCACAATCTTATTTTGGCACAGTGCTGCTAAAAGGTTGCCTACCCCTCTTCTAGACACACATATTGTAGTTTAAATATACATTACTGTGAGTGTTATTGGTGTGGAACTCAGCATTCAGACACAACAACAATATGGAGATCCAAGAAAAGAGGGACAGAGGACTTTGGGCCCAAATTACAGACTATCCCTCCTAAATTGGGAAGGATTGGGAGGTATGGTCACTTGTGAGAAACTGGGTGAATCCATTCCCAGGGCACACCACTACAGTAATGTCTGTCTGTGCTCATTTGAATGTCAATCTAGGAACTCTGGGATAGTTGTGGACACATGATTTCTCAAGGTTCTGTGCCCAAGGAGGACATTCCAAAGTTCAATTTGAGATATGCAAGTGATACACAACAATTATTCTCTTTTTGCACTGTGGAGAGTTTTGTGTTTGGTTTCACTTCAACCTTTCAGTCACTCTCATTTTCGGACTAGAACCAGTATCATGCTAAAGAGACCCAGAAGGTTATAATTGTGCACTCCATGGCGAGATACTGATACCTGGTCCTTTTAGATGATCAACCCATGATTTGGTTTAAAAAAAAAACCTTACTTTAAATAACATCTGTTGTTAAGGGTACCTGAAAAAAATACAGAAACATAAGGCTTGTCTTGTCCATATGCATGTCTAGCAGGGAACTCTGGGATAGTTGCTGAAACATAATTTCTCTATGTCACAGGTTCGCTAGTCTATTGCTGTTATTCCTTCAATCCTCTACTAGTCCTAGTTCCATATGTACTGAATATGGTGATAATGTTATCGCTGTGTAAAGTTTCACCAATATAATGGACGCAACTAGTCGTATTGGGTAGATGAAGCAATCTGACTTTATTAGGCCACACTCGGCTTTTTATACAGTGCCCCTAGCATGGGGTTTCCAAGACAAAATCACAGGGCTTTCCTTCCCACAAACCATTGTGCTTGAGAGATAATTGAGCTCCAATTAAGATAACTATTATCTCTCAAATAAGAAAACTAACATACAATTTTAACATATCATGAAAATACATGAAAACAGTATAGGAACCTTAGAAAAATGATATTCCCGAATAGCCCCGATCTGAGCGCACAAAAAGTGCTCAGATCAGTTTGGTAAAATGAAAGTTAGGTTCGAATAAAAAGTTGAGGTGGTAGCCCAAAACAATTACAGAGAATTGATAAGGCTGGCCGGTCGACTTTTGGGGGTTCCTGTGCGTACACCAACGAATGCATCTCCTGGGTTTAAAGAAATTAATGCTTCCCTTGTTCAGCAGTTTGTTACTCCCAAAAACCGTTACCCTAGCTGGTCAGGCAATCGAACGGGGAAGCACTTGAGGTGATTGCTAGTTTGTCGTTAATGGGGGTGGTCGGTGATTACGAGGTGTTAACAAGGGGAAAAGATAGCCTAACACAAGGGAACAATAATCGGGTAGTGATTCCATTCGAATGCAGGAGGATATCAGACGAAACAAAGTACAAATAAGGGAACACGTACGAGGAGACCCATCTCCCATGACACTCTAGTTTCTGTGCCAAAGAGGAATTTCCAAAGTTCAACTTGAGATATGTGATTGATACACAACAGTAATTTCTCTAATTGCACTGTGTTGGGACTTTTATTGTGTTGGTCTCATAACAATCTTTTATATATAGAGAGAGAAATATTTTTATACATGGCTAGATATAAATTTGGCTCTATCATCTCTCTCTCTTTTTCTGTCCGTCTGTCTATTCATCTATCTATACGAGCTATTATATATTATCATACATCTACGAAATTCTAAATTAAACAAAATTTGCAATAAAGGAAGTGTAAACATTAGAGCTCACCTTATATGAAGTGTTAAGGAAAGCATTGCACATTACATGTAGGGAAGTATGACGATGGTTGCAAAGTGCTTTAATTCTTAAATGGCAGATAATTGAGCAGTGAGACTGCAGGGGCATGATCTATACACCAAAACAGCTTTGTTAAGCCAAAGTAGTTTTGATTCCAGTGCAACGATTTTAACCTGTACTTGATCATGATGGACCTAATCCATAATTATGTATTATAAAATTTAGCATCAACATTATGTTTTAGTTCTAAATAAACCTCGCTATTTTATCTATACTACCTTTAATCAATCAATAAATACATGGCTAAATTCTAGCAGTTTAGGGGCAAGGATGCAAGGCGTCCCCTCCAGATCCGCCTGCGAGGCGATTGCCCCTTAAGCAAGCGAGGGAAGGAGGCTGTCAGCCGAGTAATGGCTTGAACAACCCCCAAATTGTCGCAGTGAAACACTACCCTTAGATCCTGAAACGGGACTGCCAGACCTCCCCCACCACCAAAATGGGGAAACACTCCAAAAAGCCCAGATTCTTTGTGAGCCCAGAGACATGCCAACTGTCTGGCCACACGGGAGCACACCAATTAGAGCCCAGAATGGCCCCAAACCCCACCGCGCCAGCTGCGTCCGTAAATAGGTGGAGGTCGGCGTTAGAAACCTCCGGCCTTTGCCAGCAGAACCGGCCATGATATGCAGCTAAGAAGGACTCCCAAAATCTCCCGCAGCAGCCGAGTGAGCCGAATGAAATGGCGAGGCCCGGAGACCACGGCTGTCGCCGTAGCCAGACGCCGGTTAAAGAGCCGCCCCACGGGCATGATCCAAGGCAAAATTCAGCTCACCCAGGAGCGACTGCAGGCAGCGCAGCTGAATATCGCGCCGTGGCCAAGGCCCCTTCGCGAAATCTTATTCAAAGGCCAGCGGCAGTCCCACGCCAAAGAGTCAATCTCAATGCCCAGAAAGCTGAGAAAGTGACCGGGCCCACCGTCTTGCCGTGTGCCAATGGGATCCCAAACTAATGGAACACCTCACCCAGAACCCGTCGCAGCAGTGAACAGGCTGTCGAGTCGGCAGGACCCACACAAATGAAATGATCGAGGTAGTGTAGCAAGGAGACTATACCAGCCTCCTCCCTCACCACCCAGTCCAAGAACGTGCTGAAGCATGCAAAGTAACAACAGGATATGGAACTACCCATAGGGAGGCACATATCTACGTAATACATGCCTACAAAAAAAACACAGCCCAGAAGATGGTGACATCCCGGGTGCACTGGCAGTAGACGGAAGGCCGAATCCACATCAGCCCTGGCCCAACAAGGCCCCAGGGCCCATGGCCCTGACCATATCAACCGCCACGTCAAAGGATGCATAAGATACCCGTCAGAGTTCCCAAGAGATGTCGTCATTCACCAACCCCTCCCCCCCGGGGGTACGATAAATGGTGAATCAGACGGTATTTGTCCAAAACCCATGCTCAACCCATCCAGTAGGATGCCAGCCACCCGACGATTTCTATAAACTGGAGAGCCAAGGGCGCATCGCGCTCATGACCACTGGCGCCATCGCCCTCTGACCCCAAATCCCCAAGTGGA